TGAATGGAAGATTAAAGATGCTCGGGTGATGACATGGATTCTAGGGTCAATTGACCCTCTTATTGTTCTTAATCTCAGGCCGTACAAGACATCTAAGGCCATGTGGGATTACTTACAAAATGTTTACAACCAAGATAATAGCGCAAGACGCTTTCAGTTGGAGTATGAAATTGCTAATTACTCTCAAGGAGGTCTTTCTGTTCAGGATTATTTTTCTGGATTTCAAAACTTATGGGCTGAATTTACAGATATTGTCTATGCCAAAATACCTACTGAATCCCTATCAGTGATTCAGGCAGTTTATGAGCAAAGCAAGCGAGACCAATTTTTGATGAAATTACGCTCCGACTTTGAGAGTGTTTGCTCTAACTTGATGAATTACGCTCTGACTTTGAGAGTGTTCGCTCTAACTTGATGAATCGTGACCTGTCTCCCTCTTTGGATGTTTGCTTTAGGGAATTACTTCGTGAAGAGCAACGTCTTGTCACACAAAATGCTTTTAAGAAAGAAAATGATGTCACTGTTGCATTTGCTGCTCAAGGTAAAGGAAAGGGCAGGGATATGAGTAGAACTCAATGCTACAGTTGCAAGGAATATGGTCATATTGCTAGCAATTGTAGCAAGAAGTTCTGTAATTATTGTAAACAACAAGGACACATTATCAAAGAGTGTCCCACGCGCCCTCAAAATCGTAGGATCAATGCTTTTCAAGCTAGGATAAATGGTTCCACTGATGATAACTCATCTTCAGGACAAGTTCTTACTCCTGAAATGGTACAACAAATGATCGTGTCAGCCTTTTCAGCATTGGGATTACAAGGTAATGATGTTACATCTAATTTTTGGATTGTTGATTCAGGCGCTTCCAATCATATGACCAACTCAACGAGCATCCTAAAAAATGTTCGTAAGTATCAAGGTCCATCACAAATACAGATTGCCAATGGTAGTAATTTACCCATTACCAAGGTTGGGGACATTACTCCAACTTTCAAGAATGTTTTTGTTTCACCAAAGCTCTCAACTAGTCTTATTTCAGTTGGACAATTGGTAGATAACAATTGTGATGTGAATTTTTCTCGTAATGGTTGTCTTGTGCAGGATCAGGTGTCGGGGACGATAATCGCGAAGGGGCCTAAAGTTGGACGATTGTTTCCTATACACTTTTCCATTCCTCCTGTTCTATCTTTTGCTTGTACTTCTACTGCTAGTAAGACTGAGGTTTGGCAGAAGCGTCTAGGACATCCAAATTCTGTTGTGTTGTCTCACTTATCAAATTCTGGTTTATTGGGAAATAAAAATAAATTTTCAGTTGCTTCCATTGATTGTTCTACTTGTAAATTAGGCAAAAGTAAAACTCTTCATTTTCCTAATTTTGGTAGTCGTCTTGCAAAGTGTTTTGATGTCATTCATAGTGATGTTTGGGGCATTTCACCAATTATTTCTCATGCTCATTTCAAATACTTTGTGACATTCATAGATGATTATAGTCGGTTTACATGGGTGTATTTTCTTCGATCCAAATCTGAGGTCTTTTCCATGTTCAAGACATTTTTGGCTTACATTGAGACTCAATTTTCTACATGCATCAAATTATTAAGATCTGATTCTGGTGGAGAATATATGTCTTATGAATTCAAAATATTCTTGCTTGACAAAGGGATTGCCTCACAACACTCTTGCCCATATACACCACAACAAAATGGAGTTGCTGAACGAAAAAATCGGCATCTTTTAGATGTCACTCATACTTTATTGATTGAGTCATCTGTACCATCTAAATATTGGGTGGAAGCTTTGTCTACTGCTGTCTATTTAATTAATAGATTGCCATCTAAAGTGTTAAATCTTGAGTCTCCATATTTTCGTCTTTATCACCAAAATCCTAACTATGGTGATTTTCAAACATTTGGTTGTGTTTGTTTTGTGCATTTGCCTCCTTCGCAACGCAATAAACTTTCTGTACAATCTACTAAATGTGCTTTTATGGGTTATAGTACTTCACAAAAATGTTTTATTTGTTATGATCCATGTTCTCACAAATTTTGTATTTCTAGAAATGTTGTTTTCTTTGAGAATCAGTATTTCTTTCCTACGATTGTAGATTCATCTTCTGTTTCTCCTCTTCTTCCTACTTTTTGAGGATTTATCATCTTCTTTTAAGAGGTTCAAACCTGGATTTGTGTATGAACGACGTCGGCCAACTTTACCCGTTCCCGACACTGATCCGTCGCCTGAAACTGCACCACAACTAGAATTTGAGAATTCTTCAAGATTTGGTCCTCTTGAGCCTACTTGACGATCTACAAAAGTATCTCGTACTCCCAATTGGTATGGCTTTTCCTCTACTTTATCCAGCATATTTGTTCCATCTTGTTACTCACAAACTTCCAAGCATGAATGTTGGCAAAAAGCAATGGAGGAAGAACTTTTGGCTCTTAAAGAAAATGACACATGGGACATTGTTTCATGTCCTTCAAATGTCTGCCCTATTGGATGTAAGTGGGTTTATTCAATCAAACTTCATTCTGATGGAACTCTTGATCGGTACAAAGCTCGATTGGTTGTTCTTCGTAACAGACAAGAGTATGGGGTGGACTATGAGGAGACTTTTGCACCCGTAGCCAAAATGACTACGGTACAAACTATTATTGCCATTGCTGCTTCACAAAACTGGCCTCTTTATCAAATGGATGTCAAAAATGCTTTTCTCCATGGTGATCTTAAAGAAGATATTTATATGAAACCTCCACCTGGTTTGTTCTCATCGCCTACATCAGATGTATGCAAGTTGAAGCGGTCTTTGTATGGATTAAAACAAGCTCCAAGAGCTTGGTTTGATAAGTTCCAGTCTACTTTGCTACAATTTTCTTTTGAGCAGAGCAAATATGACTCATCTTTGTTTCTTCGAAAAACATCTACATGTTGTGTTCTTCTTTTGGTGTATGTAGATGACATTATTATCACAAGAACTGATTCTTCACTAATCACTTGCCTGCAACAGCAGCTTAAAGATTCTTTTCATATGAAAGATCTTGGTACTCTTACATATT